ACTTTCAGCTGCGCCAACTGGCGGTCCCCGGGTTTCTTGAATTTTCTTACAGGGATTAAAATAATATTTACGTACATAAAAATACCTCAAAAAATCCAAAATTGGTGTTAAAAACTTTTTTCGGTCAATTTTAGAATTCCGGCACGGCGGCACTACCGTGCTCTGACGATGGCAGGCAATGGTTTGCCTCAAACTAGCCATTTTCGGCCAGTTTTGTCTGATTTTAGCCAGTTTTACACTCATCCCTGCGAGAAAACACGTTAAGGGACCTTGGTTGGCTGAAAAAGTCAAAAAACAAAAACTTACCGGATGCAGAATTTTCCAGTGCGGCGACTCCGCCGGCTCACATTTACGACTAGGTTTTTTCTTTGGTTAACCTGTAGAAAATAGAATGCTTAACACAATTGTGAAAAAATCGCACGAAATGAAAAATAGAAAATGACTCATTGGAAGCGTTTTCGAGTCTTGCCCGCGGCAACGCCGCCGGGCTTTGCTAGCAGTTTCCGACTCATCCGCCGTTCCGTTTGCTCCGATTTGGCCATGTGGGTGGTCGGAATCAAATTTCGAGCGGATGAGAATTTTTACCTTTTTGGTGGTCGGAGGTGACTCCGGCGCGGCAGCAGGTGGCAGTCGGCTCCCTTCTCCGGCGACTAGTTCTTCTTCTCCGACGGGGGGCTGGCGGCTAGGGTTTGGGTTCGGTGTGATGCGAGATATTTATATCCGTCTCCCTTAAATATGGGTTGTTCATCGTATTTGATATTGATCGTCCGATCGCGTTTAAAGAGAAAATTAATCTAAACCATTAATCGCGATTTAATCTCGACCGTACGATCATATTTAAAGAGGGAACGAATTTGAACCGATTATCACGTTTAATCGCGACCGTTCGATCACACCTGAGGAAGAAACGGATCCGGACCGTCCACACGCGCGAAAACGCATCCGGGCCATCCGATCGCAGGTACGCGGATTGCCAGCATGGCCTCTCATGTGTCACCGAGTCAGCGTGCCTTACCACGCGGGGCGCTCCGGTTCGTCAGGCCTGCTGATTGAACAGTCCTACGTGGCGTAATTTTTTTTAATTACGTTTTAACCCCCAGTTTCCGATTTTTCTTTCAAAAATACCTTCCAATCCAAATTTTCACCTTTTTTTTTTAAATTATTTTCAATTTCATTCTCAACCTATATTTTTCTTAATTTTACATTAAATAAAATTTATAAATTTAAAAATTATATTTTTATACATTTTTTAAACTTTAAAATTAATCCCGGGCCAAATTTCGAGCCCAGGTATTACAACTCTGCTTTCATTTTCTTTCGCTCCATTATTCCTCTTTCTTCTCTCATTTTCTTGCACTTTGTTGCCATGGGATAGGCTAGTTTTTTTGTCTTTGGGTTAGGCCCATGGTCTTCTCAGGGTTTCTTTAGCTAATCTTCAAAGAGACTAGGCTGCAATCATGCATTGATTTTCTTTGCTCTTTTTCCTTTTCTTTAATGGTTTTGAGGTTGCTGCAGGATCCCTTATCCTCCTTTTCTAATATTTTTACCTTGCTTCCTAATAATATTTTTCTTTTGTCCTCAAATAAACCTGTGGAGAAGAGTAATGAAACTAATGAAAACTTAACTATAATAACACAAACTATGTTCATCAAGCAAACCAAAACTCTCAAAATGAAAATTGGATGAAAATTGAGAGCACGAATTTCCAGGTCATCGAGGAAGCATAGCTTATTTCATGTGGGACATTTTTATCTATTATAACACTTTTGTGCAGATGACAGAAAGGATTGCATTATGCAGCTGCTCTTGTACTTATGAAAGAGACAACAAGAATTACACCCACAGGTTCCCTACAATATAACCAGAACAAAATAATTTTTTTTGCTTTGAATAATCCAGATACTGCTCCACCTTCACAAGTCCTCTACAGAGCCACAAACAACCCAACAAATGCTGTGAAGATCGGGGTAAAAAAAAAAATACACTCTTGGCTAGAGTCTGGATTTGAGCTCAAAGGGCCTCTTCTCATCAGGCCTGTTACCACTAAATTCAAAAGCCTTAATGCTCTTTGACCTGTTTGACTGGTTCTAAATTTTGGAACTCCTAGGATCCACCTGATCTTTATTCTTCACTGCCAATCACATGCTGATAAGCTCTGCAATCGTCAGTTTAATCAGAACCTTCATCCCACAAGCAGGTCAAGGACCTGACCCACCCACATTGCTTGGCACAGCCCTTCAACTGTAGGAGGATTCATTTCCTTAGCATCCTCCACCAGCAGGGTTCACCATCAACCTCCCTTCTTCCTCAACATGGCTTAGATCACCAACCTTACCTACTGCTAAAAACGATCTTCATCAGCCTCCCCCTTTTTTCGTGCTGGAAAAGCATCTTGCTATTGCCTTCTTAATTCTCTTTGAGTCCAAAACAACTCCTCTCTCGTTGTGGCCCAATGAAAGACAGGGAATGATCTTCCCCCTTTATGCATTCAAGTCCATGAATTGTGACCAGACAACTAAAGAAACTCATATATGGCTCTGAAGAACCAGTGAACCCCCAGTCCAGATAGAGCTGAGAACCAGTTTCATATTCCATTTTCTCTAATAAGCAGGATGACCACCAATTCTCTTTCTACAACAAGGTTCCAAGGTTTCCAGTCAATCAACAATAATGTTTTTGGTGCATAGAGTATGATTGCACCAGCCAGGTTGGCCATCTTAAGTTGCTGAGGAAGCTAAAACACACTCGCTCTAGAAACTTCCAAAGAAGAGAATTTTAACACCATAACAAATTACCAAATTAACGAGTTACCAGGGAAGCTAAGCTCCCAAGAGAGCCTCTTTAGACAAATACTCATGCTGTGGACACTAAAAAAAGAAGAGACTTAGAAACATCATACCAAAATTAAAGAGGTAAAGTTTATAGGAACCTAGGACTCCACAGGAAACAAAGTCAGATATTGCATGAAATTACTCTAAAAGTCCTACGATCCAACTTTGGAAAGGGAATTACTTTACAAATACCGAGCCTTTTATATCGCATGGCAGATGACAAAAACCCTAATGACAGAAACATAGTGAAGAGATTGTATTAAGAAATGCATGCAGTTTATGAAAAATAGACTAAATCATGGAATTCTTTAAGATTTATCTAATCTATTCTAAAGTAGTATATCTCTATTGTGAATAGAATTATCACTTTCTAGTGTTAAATGCCCTTAGGTGCTTTAGTATTCCTCCATCTAACTGGGTTGAATCCCAAATTACAAAAGGCTTAGCTCCTTATCAAAGACAAAAAAAAAAGAGAGAGAGAAACATAGAAATCCTTGCAGTAAAAGTACCTGAGATATTATATAATCTGCCTGTTGTTTTGCATAGTAACGCTCTGATGGATGAAGTTTGTCTATTATAGGTAGCAATTCTATGTCAGACAGATATCTGTTCAAAACAAAAGCCAAATACAGATATTGACATCAAAAACCAAAATAACAAATTGCTTTTCCATCCAACAAGAATGTAATATATCCCAATAAGTTGCTAGAGTACCCGTCACCATCTTTGTCAAGCCTAGAAAACATATTTTTGGCAGGTGTCTCCATTAAGTCACCAGAAGGATGTGAAGAGTTATCACTGTCTTCATCATAGTTTCTTACCAAATCAAAGAGGCCATGGAAAAATTCTTTGAAATTAACCTTCCCATCACCATCTGAATCTCTTTCCCTAAGAAAACAAATGGCCTGAGAGAGTGAGGGAAAGAAAGGTTGGTCGAGATAGAAAATTATGCAACAAAGATAAAGCATATTTCATAATCAAATGATACCCTGGCTTGGAACAAGATAGCAAATACTTCAAGCAATACAAAATTTGAGAAGAAAGGAAAAAGGAAAAAATAATGTGATATCCATTCCAGCCAAGTATTATAACATATACAGACATCTTGATATGTTCCTATGAATCACTCACTAATCACATTGACGGACACACATCTCCGGACCTATTTTTCTTCAGTAGTTTAGATGACTATCAGTCAGATATATACTTTCTTTGCTTCATATTCTTGAGTTGTTCACTGTCCACATCCCAATGGCAAAACTTGGATACTGTATTCCTCAAGCCTGTGCACCTGCAAGCTCCTCTTTACTCACTTTATCCATGATTCTAATGGTTGCAATTAGACCTAAAAGTTTATTTTGGAAGGATAAAGTTCTTTCTAAGGCAAAAGGCTTTGTGCAGATTTGTTATCAGTAAGCTCAACACTGATGATCTACTATAAGTACACAGGCCAGCCATGCACTCCCTCTTGATGTCTGTGTTATGTCCGTAAAGAGGACCGAGTCCTTGCTTTTTTAATACTTTGACTTAAGCTTTTCTATAATTTTGGCACTGTGTGGGTTTCCCCCCATCCCTTGCTTGTTTTGTCACTTTGTCTATTAAGGAAGTAGGGACAAAGAGTCGGAGTGAGCAAAAAGGAAAGCTGAGACGCTCCCCTGGGATTTTTTTTCCGGAGGTTTATAAGCATTGTGGTTGGAGCTTAATGCTAGATTCATAAAAAAAAATTCACTAAGCTTATCGGACTAACTTCTCATTAATGTTTTTTTCTTTGAGATAAAATCCAAATCGCGATGCGTTTTCTTATTCCTGAATGGGCTTCTTCCATTTTTTATTCCATTTTTTTAGGTTTAAGCTCTACTCCGAGTAAAGATCTGCCTGATTTAGATTTGCACATATAAGACAAATCAACCAAATACCGCATCTTTTTCTACGACCTCCTTTTTTTTTCAATTCATTTCTTTCGTATCTTCCATCAAATATTCAACGTATTAATCATATTATTCTTATTCGACTGATTAACAGTTGAGATCGTTCCTATTTAGAATTTATTTCTAAATATATTTAGAATTTATTTCTAAATAGAGTCATTTTTTTTTCAACTCAAGGATCGCTATTGCACTTTTTTCTCTCAAACAAAAATTTTTTCTTTGCTTCTTTCTGAATAGATGTGTTCTTTAGCTATTTTACAAAAGGACTGGGTTGCAGTTTTTGTCCTATTTTTTTTCCGTCCCTTGTTAATTCAGGAGGATTTGTTATCCTCTGTTTTAAAACCTTTTTCTTCTCTCTCTAGTAATATCTGTTTTTTCATACTAAAAAAATTGTAATATGTAAAGACTTCTGCTACATGTGCATACAAGTTCCCATTTTCTACTTTTATTCAAGTAGGTCAAAGGACTAAGAAATGATGTTTGTTCATCAGCAATGAATTTTTATAATTCACTAAACTTCCCCACTTCTGCTATATGTTTATAACATGGATTTGAGAAAGTCAAAGTACTAGAACAAGAATCTACATTTTGGCATGGGATGCCTGGCTCTTAGATGCAACCTTGAGGCTTGTCTATGCAACTACCCATGCTTCTGTATGTGCACACATGAGAAACAAGAGATACTAAGAAATGTCAATTTGTCATAGATGAAAATAGAAGACAAGATTGCCACCTTACTTCCTCTTTGCACAACCACTGAAGTAACTTAGGGTTTTTTGTGTCAGCTGGGTGCAGAAAACTGAAAAAAAGTATATAGAGAATTAGTTAAAGGAAAAAAATAACAAGTCATAATTCTTTATTCAAAATGAATGTTACTTAACAAATGGATATTTACTCATTTGTTGATACCCTTACGTCTCTGTAAATTCCTTTGTATACGGGCGGTACCCCCTTTGGTGCTATTCTAATTTTATTCTAATTTTTTCTTTCAAAAAAAAAAAGGATGCTTACTCATTGAACTCGGTTATATTCAATAGACCATCTCCATCTGCATCTGATGCATTAAAATGCTCCTCTTTCCACCAACCCATGTCATAACCAAATGAATTATTACCTAATAAATCAAATGGAAAGAGTTAAAGAGAGAGGGGTACCATGAGACTTTGTTCACCCAAAACATAAAATCAGATATGGTACATAGATAGAATAAACGAGATGCAGATGAGAAGAAACACTTAATTTAGGTGGATTGCCATTTTTTTGGGAGGGGTGAGAGGGAAGTAAGATAAGGAATCCAGGTTTGACGAGATACTTTACATAGTCAACTAAATAGGTTGAACAATTCTCAAATTTAAATCAACTTGTGATGCGAGACCATTAAACAGTTTTACCAGTACAGAATTACTACCATGTTATGTTTACCAAGATTTTTATATTCTGTTAAGACTTATTTCTTGTTTACTTAGTAGTATTATTTTACTAATTTTTTCCTACTTAAGGATTGCAGTAGGCTATATTGCTGCTTCATCATTATTGAGAAGACTGTTTATAAATAAAAACTATGACATTTTCTCACAACTCTGTGATTATGATTTTTGCCAATCCCTATGATTGTAAATTCTATTTATCTTTTAATTTATCTGCTGTCCTCCATTAGTTTGGCATCAAAGCTAAATGTCCTACTTTTGCCATCAAATTCCCACACGATAACAAAATTTCAGATCCACAGACAATTCTAAAGCCCAAAAGCCAAAACAAGGATCACATAACAGACCCAGCAACCTGTTGGCCTATTCTAAAAATCCAGTAGATGACACCACCAATGCCATACACATAAGAAGCCTCTGCCAGCTACTCCACCAAGTTGTTGCTTCTAATACTAACGACATCAGCTGCACTTGACACCAAACCATGAAAACCTTGCTGGAAGTAAAAATTCTCAATCACGTCAGCAACCATCAACACCAAATCTCAAACTTGCCCCTCCAGATGAATCCACAGTCTGAAGCTCCACATCGGAAGCTAGTTGGAATCCAGAATGCGGTCACCATGTCCCAAACACCGCATACGGATATTTGCGTTAGATTATCTTTGTTTGACCGGTTCACCCAGAATTTACAAAACCAATGTGACTAGCCCTGTTCAGCCATCTCCAGACCATTTCTTGACTGGTTCACACTAGTTCTCAAGATCTTTGGAAGAACCCTTTCCATTTTTAAGATTTTTGTTGAGAGATTTACACTACACAGCCTATATTTAAGAACTAACGACACTTTAGAGGGTTTGTTGTCTTCTAAGTAGGCATAATTCTTCTATTTTTAAACTCATTATATCATTGTGACCTAGTTATTACGTTAACTGGTATTGGGTCTTTGTTTACCCTTTTCTTGTTATCTAGAAACAACAGTAAGAAAAAAGGGAAGCACTAGATATCAGATTAGATGCTAAATTAGCATCTAATTTGATGCTAAATTTAGCATCTCATTTTATACCAAATTTG